AAATTAAGTAAACAAATACTTTAAAATGTATTTTGTTGTCTTGATACACAATATTACATCATAACAATGTGACCATAATTTGTGCGAAAAACCATGTGAGCTTAAAAAGTGCGTTCAGCTGTATACAAAGAGAACAATTGTTAAAAAATAATAGCAAGTATATGTAAAAGTCATTTAATTATTGGGTTTTAGGTTATACTGTGTGAAATGTATAGGGAAAGTATTTTAAAGAAATTCTTGACGCTCTATGTTCTGACGTTTCATTGCCATTAAGTTTGCACCGTGGGTACAAAACATGTTAATTTTAGGGGAAAAAGTTAATTGATACCTGTTAAATCGAATGAAATGAAACTTCACACAACATCAAAACAATTATTCTAGTGAGTAATATAACGTAGATTGACATCGCCCACGAACTTTTCGAACGACCCTCGTATTTTTAAAATTTTAATAATTTCTCTTTGAATTTCATTTTTTTTTTCATGAACGAGAAGAATATTTAATTATGATACGCATTCATTAAAATTATTACTTGATAAAATCATATGAAATGACTTTAAACATTTTGATAAATATGTAAGCCAGGTCGAAAACATTCTTTTTTAATTTTAATTTTTTAGCGAAATAATATATTATAATCTAACATACGAGGGTTGATCCAAAAGTAATGTCACAGTGTCCATATCTTTTATATTTGGCGTCATATTATCACATATAATATACCAAAAGATGCACAAATATAAATTGAATTTAACTTGAATTTTTCATTCAATAATGTTTAACTGAATTTATTTCATAGATGTTTAAAACATAGAATATATGGGGGGTCGCCGCGTCACAACCGAACGTCACAAAGTAAAATGTACATTTTTTAATTAAAGAAGACAAACACATTAAAAAACATCTATTAAAAGCGCCTAATCACAAAATATTTGAAAAGACAAAAAATTACATCATTTTTTAGTCTTAAGTTGAAAAGTATATGACATAATTGCTATTTTTTATTTTAAAAACATCGTTGTTTTACTCCGGTGCATTGCATTGAAAAAAAGGAAATGCCGAAATGGACAAAGAAAGCCAGAACAACCGTAAAGCATTTTTAGCTTCAAAATGAAGAAATCGCCAGAAGAGACAGTAACGTTGATTCACCAGTCTCATAGAGGAAAGAATGTAAATAAGAGACTTATTTAGATAGTTTCAGCGATTTTGAATGGGTGATGGGTCATTGAACGCTCAGCAGATGACAAGAAGAGCGAAAGATGAGAGGACGAACGGAAACGTTCAATGGTGTGTGGCGTTGTCAAAAAAGACAGACGGTTAGACCGATATGTGAAATTTTAAGGTGGTCTTATACTACTGTTCAAAGAATTTTGACAGAAGAATTAATTATGGAAAGAGTGAGTGTACGATGGGTAGCAAGTTTTCTTTAAGAAGGTGAAATATGTGAACGTGTTTGTGGATCTCTCATACTTTTAATGAAACCAAATGAAGCGTTTAAATGTACGACGTCGTGTATCCGTCACATGACGTTATTTATGTGCGGCGACTACCATAATCGCACTTTGTATATAATCCGATATTTTGAAAAGCATAAATCATGCTGAATTGAAATTTTCAGGTCTGATTTGAAATAAATGTAGCTTTCATCATTAATAATTTTGTTGTTTTACGTCGACGGGTAGCGATTTTATCGAAGTTGTGACATTACTTTTGGATCAACCCTCGTATATTTCCGTTCATTTCATTACTTCTTCTCCAAACAAAAATCATTTTGAATTAATACAAAGAAAAAATATTGACAAATGTTTTCTTTCTGCTTATGCATATTTTGATCATTGAAAGGTAGTTTGAATAATTTAATTATAATTCATCAGAATCCGTATCAGATTGCACTCTATTGCAATTCGACAACTTATTTAACACACGGGAAGTTTTATTTTAGGGAAACATGTCGCCTTATAGCCGGAAGTAATGTTACTGTAATATGCGGCAAGGATATGGACAAACCTTACCTGAGCCGTGTTAAACTGCATCCGTGACCAGGTAAAGTGACCACGTAGAATGATCAATGAATGACCAGGTGTAATGTTTGACAATTATATGCGTCATATGTTTATATTAATGAATAAAAACACACGTTTACTGAGGGAGATATAGAAATATATTAATGTAAGTAAATATTATTTTGATTTTAATTATTTACAATTTGCAAAATTTGGTTGAAACTTTAAAAAGTTTTAGTAAACAGATAATATTAAAGATTTTACAAAATATTTACATATTTTCACCATATCTTATACATACTGATTTTGGCTTTAGATTTTAATCAATTTTTTTTTTTTACATCAATGTTAAATTGCTAGATTTTGCTAGAAATCTCTTCATGCAATATTATTTTAATCAAAATGTTTTAAACATGCTTGATAATTTAATGATATCTTTCTAAAACAAAGAGATGGGGAAAAGACAAAGATAAAAAAAATTATTTTTGTCAGTATAATTATTATTAAACATAATTTTTATAAAAACATTTTTATGCTTTAAATTCATTTTATGTCAGTTTTTATCAAAGCCAACTCCATATTCAATCAACTTCAATATAATTGATTACGGGACCGTGACTTAGGGGTGCATAGACACATATTTGAAGTTAATATTTTCTGTATAATATTACCACTTATATAATGTAATAGAATTTTCACAAAAATATACCAAAACTCAGATTTCCTCTAAAAGATTTTTGAAACGACAAATTTGGATTGGTTTTATTGACACGTCCTTGCACTTTCACAACTTTTAATTTTATTCTTAATACTTAGAAGAAATTGGCAATCTTAATGTGTATTAATAAAAAACATTCAAATTTAATGCAGTAAAAATAATTGTTTTCAGAGTAGAAATGTTCGAAAGCAAAACCCCTTCACAAATATCGTCATTCCGCGCTTAGTATTGTGTACAGAGTTTAGCAAGTTAAAACACCCGTAAAAATTGTAGAGTTTTTGCTAACAGTGCACGAGCTCTGTTACTGTCAAGATTTACTGTTACTTCACCGGGTGTGCTTAATTGTTAAAGTCTTCTCTCAACAACTACACGAACTGATAATTTGCTGTGTATACCTGTTTAAAAAATTGAAGTTTCAATAACTTTTTGATGAAATAAGACTTTTAATCTATTTTATCTATGAAATGCTAAATTGCAATATATAAGTCGTGATATATACAGAAAATTTGAGAAAATATTAACTTATCTATGCACCTTTAAGATAAAATATTTCAATTTTATCTATGTATATAGAGAGTGATAAGAAGAAATTACAATTCTCTACGTGAATCCATTTTTCACATTTTTTACTTCTCAGAATCTGGACTTCATTTTCGTAGCCTATATATTTCACCTTTTAATAAATGTATAAACTTTCCGACAAAACAAGAATTCATTTTTATTAGTTTGCTGCTAATTATTTTTTCATTATTATTAGTTTGCTGCTAATGTGAATTGTAATATTCATATTTAAGATAATGTTATATCAAAATATAGATCACTTTATTTAAATATTTCTTTAATGTAGACCACGAACATTTTGTCACACCAATTTTGACGATAATTGTTATATTGTCATAAATGGACGCCAGATAATTCCCTGTTCCAAGTGAAATATTAAATCTTTTTTATTTGTATACATATTTTGCCCAATGATAAGAATTAATTTCCATCTCACAAGCAGTTTCACAGAATTGACCGTCTAATCTGTAATTTACATTAATTGTATTCATTATTATTTTTTAATTAAAATTTTGAAATCAGAAATCTCCAAATTATTTTTTTTTTTACTTTACATACAATAAGACATTTTTTTATTATTATTATTAATACTTTTTCTGGCGATCGAAAGACACATTCAAAGTAAAGCCATCGGTTCCTTTCATTATTACGGAATCAAAGATTTTGCCATTTGGTGCAAAGTTTTGGACGTTTAAAGAATTATTATTAACATTTTTGCCGCAAAAAACTGTATTTATTGCTTTTATCAGTCGAATCTGTCTGTTAGCGAAATTTAAATTCTCGGTTATATTTTTATTATAGGAAGGGTTATATTCAATATCGTGCTTATGAATTCCAAATAACTATCTCGCAAAAATAATGTGTTGTTAAAAAAGTTTGTCTATAATATAATGAGTTTGTATGGGAAAAATAATTTTTTAAATTGCATAAATATTTGATCTGCAGTTAAAGTTTTGACTTTTACAATATGTCCAAAACAAATAAAATCATATATGAGTTTGTGAAGGTGATCTTATTTAAGCATAGTTATATGCTAAAAAATGTATTATTATCTCGATAGCTTTTTCTGGTAATAGTGAATAATCGGATAGCCAAAATAAAAATTGATATAAATGAGATAATTAAAGAAAAGACAAATACTGTCATTCTAGAGGAATCGGGAAAACCCTTATTTTATTAAGGTTGACAGATGTTTATTTGCATTCATTTAATATGCAACATGTTGACGCTGTGTTTAGATATGGCTATCAGCATAATCGGAAGTGACCGTGATTTATAGAGTGAAGGGAAAGGGGCGCACGTACATGTACCATCTGAATATACCGCAGGCAGAGAGAGAGAGAGAGAGAGAGGCGGCAGAGAGAGACAGACAGACAGAGAGAGAGAGAGAGAGAGGCGAGAGAGAGAGAGAGAGAGAGAGAGAGGGATAGAGAGCGAGAGAATAGACATACAGACATATAAAGAAAGGGGATGGAAAAAATAATAATAGATAGAAAGATATAGAAAGAATGTGAATAACAAATAATGACTGGTAAAATTTGTTAAATAATCTTATTTGCTTATTTTGAATGATTAATAAGATTAAATGCAAAAGGTTAATTTTTCCGATAAATATTTCGGGATTTGTCGATTTGTTGATTTGTTATTCGTCATTTAGGGAGACTAATTATTTTTAACGTAAAAACTTTATTGACATTCTCCAAATGACAGAGCAGTTTGCCCTGAGGCCACCTCGGGGAGGCGGGGAGACAAGATAAATGTGTCCAAAATGACGAAGATGTTTTTTTGTTGTTCATTAGGACGTTAACGATTTCAGGTAGGACGTCTTTCATAAATGAGTTGAGAGAATCTATATTCTTTTTATTGTAGCTCTCAATTCTGATGTAGGACTACCACTCTTGTGGTAATGGCATGTACGACTTGAAGGTTGATGTACATAGCTGATTATTATTTTGATTTTATTATACATATAGAACACCTGAATTCCAGAGAAATATGAGTCATGCCACTTAGAAATACCTTATATATGAAAATTCTGATACTAATTCTTGGAGAGTTTGTTTCTTAAAACAAGTGAAAGTAATAATTAATTTATACAAAGAGTTGACTTCCTACATACATATCCCTTGTATGGACATTAGCATAAGATTCATTGTTATAATGTTTTGTTTAATTTGCATTTCGTAATTTATGTTTCGTCTGCCGTTTAAAACGCATTTACATTCACACGTGTACCTTCTGTTTCAGATGGTCTTGGGGAAACTTAAACATCACAAGATGGTTGCTACATATGGACAATATTTCCTGTTTGTTTTATTACAAGGGATCCTGGTGAATGGTGGTTTGTGGAACTCCCGTGTGTCGTCCGACTCTGACAATTTACCTGCATTTGATTATAACCATCTCGTGACGCAATACATATCTGTTTGTGGAGTTACGAACTTGTGTAATGAATCACTTGTTATGTCTTTTAACTTAACAGATCACGAATTATCACACTCGATCCTTTGTCCGGAATGTTCCTGTGACGTAAACTGTTTTAAAGATTCCAATATTCCCTGCTGCCCTGATTTATATTTCAGGTACGGTGTACCACAATGTCGATCTGTAGAACTTGTCTACAATACAGAGAGGAATGTGAGTAATTATTACACTGTGATAGACAACTGTCCATCTGGGACCAACAAAAAACTGAATGATGAATGTACAAAAGACAGAAATCCTGCTGAGATTCTTGTTTTACACCCAGTTTCAAGCAAAAATCATGATTTGAGTTTCTGGAATAAATACTGTGCAACTTGTCACAATGTGCTTGATACCCTGCCTTGGTCTGTGTTTTTTCAGTGCAAAAAGAATGTCGATTTCAACTATTTATCTTCGTATGAAAAAATCATTGATACAGCGAACACATCGCATTGTTCGGTAACCTTTCAGGGCCGGGGTCAACATTGTATTCCCAAATGTTGGACAGGACCTGATTTCTTCCTGCAATGTCACAGGAACCTGGCAGACATACGACTCAACAATTGACAAAGCGTGCGGGAGTGGTTATAATTCAACTTATAATTTTGTGTTTAAAAACGTGTTCTGTTTTCTTTGTAACCCTCCAAAATCAAGACAAATAGCTCAATACAAACAAAAGAATTGCCCTGATCCCGTTTCACTTTTTGGAAAACTGTGCAAGAGTTTTCCGACGACACCAATAACCTTCCCTTATAGCAATATCTTCTGTCTACTGTGTCAGGAGAATGAAATGGAATTTGACACAGAAATAAAAATTACCGGACAAATAAAGGAAGTGAATATAGAGTACTCCATCGACATATTTCCAGAGACGTTTACTAAAATGATGCTTTTTCAATCCGGTGCTGAAGAACAGTTACACGCGCGGGAGAATTTTAAAACTCTGGAAGAGGTGGAACTTAATATAACAAAACTCGCCATTAAACATTTAGCTTATTCTGGAGGAGGATTATGCTCATCTGAGGTTTTGGACGAAGATGTTAAGAACATAGGAAGCGAGTGTTCATGTGATGTAAACTGTTTTAAGGATTGCTGCATTGACCAGGCGCTAAGGAATCCCGTCACATCCTGCATTACTACTGACTTTCCGCCAAAATATACAAAATATGGCGGTTATAGAATAATAGACAGGTGCTTAGGAACAACGTCAGATGAATGTCATTCTAATTCCAAGAATTTATTTCAAAATATACCATTGACAAGTGTACAAAGCGGTGCAACATACAAAAACGTATTTTGTCAATACTGCAACTCAAATGGAAACAGTCTCTTAGAGTTGACTGAACATTGGGGTTTAAATGTTTCTTGTAATCAATTCATAAATCCTGATTATTTTCCATCACTCCAAGGTTTTATAAATTCTCTGAAGGCGGCACGTTGTACTATACGTTTGTTGCCACATAAATCCGCCAGGACGTGTGACAGAACTAAAGCAGACGTCAATTTTTGTAACACCACCGGGTTGTGGTCAACCGAGGACATGGACATCAGGCGAGCCTGCGAGGATTTAAAACCGAACCATTTACCTTCAATAGGACCCGCCCGAAATAGCCAAAAAAGTTATAAAAATATATTCTGTCAGATGTGCAACCCCGTGAAACAAGCACCAACGGAAATAATTGGGCATTGTTATAATAGTACCGACGAGGTTGCGAGTTCACGGGCATTGGAGTCAGCCTGTGGAAAGCTTCCATTTGTGCAAATGTCGTCTGACTATAAGAATATTTTTTGTGAGAAATGCAATGGATATAAAACTGGAAATGAAGCTATAAAACCAACAGATTTAGACATTATGCAAAGTCTTCTTCCAGCAGTGTTCAACGGAGATTTTCGCAGGGAACATGGTAAGATGCCCAGCTACAGAACGATATTCTCCCTCAGTTCATTTGATGAAGAGGATGATGATGATGATGACAAGAAAAAGGAAATGACCTGTGTCTCTGACCAGCATCTAGATCAATCTAAGGTACAATAATACTGCGACAGTACACGATTTTATATTAATAATGTCCTAGGGTATCTCTGTCATTTTATTTTTGACAGATATCTTATCTATAGGATTGGTTTTACCTGCATTCTCATATTTTACTCTGGTACAGAATGTTGAAATCAATTATCAAAAGTTATTCGGTTGCCTAAATAAAAATATGAAATATATTTAAGACAGAATTTGGAGATTTTCATTCAAAATGTGTATACTTGTAAATCTATTATTGTTTCATCATAATGATATAGTTATAAATGTTATCAGTAGAATGGAATTATTAACATCTGATATAAATTATTAAGATAAAAAAAAATAGATAAACACGTTTTTTTTCTTTTTTAGAATATATGCAGAAATAAAACATGTTTCCCGGGGAAAGTATTGCGTAACAGTTCCTGTATTTCACTACTTCCACAAACCAAAAACCTGAGATACATTCTGTATTTCCGGGCGGACTTAAAACAAATCGTATCCGCTACACCAAACATTGAAACAATCTGCGGTGCTTTTCATGAATCTGTGTATAACGTGCTGAAAAACATTACACACTTAGATGGCAAGTTCATCAAGATAGAAGAATATACATGTCTTGCAAACAAAGACTGTGATACTAAAGAATTATCAGGACTGCAGATTTACATACAGGTGGTAGTTTTTATATCAGGAATGGTACACCGCTTAGAAACAGAGAGAAGCCTGGTATCTTTCTCTAATTCCTTTCATAATTTACCTATTAGGAATACTGTTTATAACTTTTCCTTGAGTCAGTCTGGACATTCCAAATTGTTTCCGTTTTTCTCTAGACATTGTATTCATAAGAAAAACAAATCGAAGACCACTAACCCAGAATACAGAAAAGTTTATGTGAATAACTTACTTCTTTGTCAACAAATTCTTTTAATTCCAGAGGAATACACGTATAATGCCGCAACACAAAGTCTTCAGATTAAGCAATGGAACATTTCTTTACCCCATGATCAATTCTTATTAACTGAAAATATGTCTGCAAGAGTATGTGTTTTTAATTCTACCAAACCTTTAACACCAGAGTTAGAACAGTTTGTGATAGATTCTTCCTTTAGTTTATCGGTACTGACGTTTGTGTGTATAATAATATCTCTAGTGTGTCTCGTCATAACCTTTATAGTTTACTGTGTTTTTCAATCTCTTCGAACACTACCCGGATTGAACAATATGTCCTTAATTGTTTCACTTTTCTTTGCTCAACTAATGACAGTAATAAGACCCTATATTCTGGACTTCCACACTGTTGCAGTGGTGACCTCAATAACTATGCATTACTTTTGGCTGTGTGTCTTTTTCTGGTTAAGTGTCTGTTCATTTCACATGTTTCGTGTATTTACCAGAAATACTCACAAAATTAAAAGTGAAAAAGACACTTGTCATGCTATCATTAAGTATGCTGCGTACGCTTTCGGTATCCCATGTTTGTTTGTAGTCATTCACTTGATTGTTAATGTTACAGCGTCAGAGGGGACGCTTACAGGATATGAAAACAGGAATGGTCTAGTAAACGACAAAATTGCCTTTATCGTCACGATCATAACCCCAATGTTTTTGATTTGCTTAAGTAATTTCTTTTTCTTTGTCGTCACTGCCTACCGGATACGAAATACTCCGCATGCGCAGAAGAACCAGAAGCAGTCTGTGGAGGTGTGGGTATATGTAAAGCTGTTTGCCCTGACTGGCTTAACATGGATCTTTCAGATTGTAGACGCTTTCCTCTCTGTTTCCTTCCTTTCTTACATTGTCGCCATTCTAAATGGACTTCAGGGATTGTTCCTGTTTCTAAGCTATGTCTGCAATGGACGAGTCTTACGAATGTGCTGTGAAAAAAGGACAAAAAATTCATCGGGATCGGTATCCTCTACACACCTTAATTCCTTAGTGTCTACGAAAAAATCTACAAAATTCTAGTCAAATTAATACTTTTTTCTTATGATTTAACTATTCTTTTTACAAAATGCAAAGCATTTTAAAAGTATAATTTATTTAAATATTTTTTTTTATTATTGTACGCTTTTTAATTGCATTATTATCTTTGTTCATTTATCATTATTGTGATTTTTTTTGTTTTTTCATATATACATTTTATTGTGAGTTATATTATATATTGTATCAATAAATTATTGTTGTTTAAGTCATATTTCTTTTTTATTAAAGTGTATATAATTTAGGATGTTGAAGATCTTACTGTAAAAATGGGAAGACCTATTTAAGTTAAGCCCGATATGAAATCGCAAATAAATTTATTTCATATACAGTACCTGGCCATAAGTGAGTTATGATTTTTTTTCCACTAAATTTTCATTGAAAAATGCATTTTTCTAAAATACTATTGCAGTGTTAATTTTTGCTCATTTTTTGTGACTAAAACACCATAAAATGCAAAATTCTTTGTAGTTTCCTCATATTATTTCAAAATAATTTTATCTTTAGGCATTACAGTGAAATCACAGATCAAGTGCAAAGTAGAAATTTTAAGAATTCAATTTGTTTAGAAATCTTAATAATTTGAGGTAAGAAATGTTTGTCTGGACAATTTTATAATTTATTCTCGATGATTTGAGCATCATTTTGTTTATCATTTTAGGACAAGAAAATTTGAATAATTCTACATGATTCAGTGAAAAAATTATAAAATTGCGCCAAAAATGACATCACAATAATTTTTTATAAAAATTGGTTTTTCAATGAAATATATAGCGTAAAAATGCAATTATGACTCACTTATGACCACATACTGTACCTTTTGCACTTTTCTAAAACTTTATGATACACAAGAATTAAGGAGACTAATATAAAACGATAGCAAATGATTATATAAGATTTGATTAATCAATTTTCATTTTTGGAGTTACACTGTTCACAAACATTCTTACAACTCCCATATAATGCATCAGAAATGATGCATATCAATAAAAACGTCTATTAAACTGTATTTGAATTTAAGAAAACCTCCTAGATGAATTATTGTCGAGAGGAAAATACCTGTAATACAAAAAAAAAATATGAAATGCATTTAAATTTGCCAATTATATTAGTTTATGAATACTTGGACGATATGCATAATAGTTTTTGATATATTTTTTTCCTCAAATTGCCATATTTTAAGGATTTAAATATCAAATGAAATTCATCTTCAAACTCACCCGTAAAACAAAGATCACTTTTTCTAAATATACTTGTGCAATGTAAAATAAAGAGGGAGATGGAAAATAGCGATCTTGTATTTTTAAATACATGTCGTAATGTATCGAGTCCAATTTTACGCCCATAAGCTCGATGATATTTCTGCCCCTCATCAAATGCATGCATACATTATGTTCATTCAAGGGCAGATAAGTGTAAATTCTCTATATTTGGAAACAATAACGGCAAAAAAAATTAGTATTTTATATTGCAGTTTAAATCATTTTAAGTATTTAAATTTGTGCCTAATTGACATACCTCTGTAATAAATATACAAATGTGAAATTGGGTTAAAATAAAAAAAGCAATGAAAGGGCCGATAAAGATCGAAAATACTGCGTGCAGGCATCCTTTATGATCGGCGATCGGCAGTGGGTAGAGTCTGAGTTAGACACGTGGAGTGAAGAAGTGAAGGGCCAATCCTTACGTTGTAATTTTGAATCTCATTGTAAGGCATGGAGACCGATATTTTGGATGATATGTTATGAAGCTATTCCAGTCTTATTGATATCATAGTTAGTATGTAATTCTACCTTCAATTATGCATGTTTGTGTAAAAAGAAATTTTATAATGCATAACAGTAGAGAGGGGGGGGCATATTTCCAATTATATAATGTTGAAGACAATTACACTACATAACTTTTGCGTTCAAAACCTTCATTATGGCAATTGCTTGGCGATGCCTCCGTAAGTAGTTTACCTTTATACTCAAAAGTCTTGCTGTAATCTCACATGAATGAGCAAAATTGCCTTTTATTTGTAGAAAATCGAAAAATAAAATTTTCAATACCCATAAGCTGAGTTATATGTCACAAACATTTTATGTTTTGATAAAAATATTTCATGGTACTGTGGTTTTATTAACATTCGTTGAGCACCAATTTTCGAGGATTTCGTCGTTGAGCAGGTCCACGAATTAAAATGTTCATAGAATTAAGAAATATGTTATTGGCAATGCCTTTGTCCACTAATTTACGTATCCTCGAAAACTTCTGTTTTACACAATCCACGAAAATTGATGCCAACGAAAATTAATGAAACCACAGTATATGGTCAAGTAAAGAAATGAATGAAAGGGAATTACTTTTGTGAACACACTGAGAAGAAAGGCAACGAGAATCGAAAAATATAAGATTTTAATACAGCAAACGGTAATAATAATCAAGAGTTAAATTGAATCATATAAACTTAGAGTAAAGCAGACGCAGATTGCTTTGAAGCCAGATGCCAAGGAAGACTGTAAATATTATATATCAAGATAACGTTATCTTCATGTTTAATACTTACAGTCTCCCTGGCTCAAATTCCTTTCAAAAGATACAAATCAGGGACAGAACAAACACAGACTTCTAAAACAACAGAATTGGACTTATCTACCATGAACGAGTAAGCATCCCCTGCCTATGGGTCACACACGCAGTGTGCTCCTTGACATGATTGGAAAATAGCGGAAAAATCTCTCGGCAATTCAATTGATAATTATGGATCTACCATTCAATAACACATAGTCTGAAAAAAAATGTCCTCAAATTCTGCATTATTCATGTGAAATATGCTTTAGATTATCTTTAAGATGCACAATCGTGAAATTTATAAGGCCTTAATAGGTGCTTGGTGATTACTGACAAACAAGTTAATGTAACATGGTATGATATTTTGATTGCATCATCAAAATCAATAGTTACAATCCAAATTGTTTATTTATCTTTAGTTCATCATAGTTATCTTCAGTTTCAAATATCATCGTTATTACTAGAAAACGTTCTTTAGAAAATCTTTGAAATCTTTGATAGGTTTGTAAACGTATCTAAATAATTATAAACAACAGTATACTATGGCAGTTTTGTTTTGGTGAGATATTTGTGAACTACCATATATATATATATATATATATATATATATATATATATATATATATATATATATATATTATATATATATATTGGATTCAAAAACTTCATTAAAATCTTTATAAACAAAGATACATTGCGGGTTCCAATAAATGTTCAACAAAGAGTCTTTCGTTACTCTTCACTTAGGTATTTACAGTAGTGATGGAAAAACTTTAAGACTGTGCAACAATATATTCAAGAAGTGGGTGAATCAGTTATGGATACTCAAAACTTCCAGAGAACTTTTGGACAGTTTGAAATCTCAAGATTTTACGAAAATCAACAGCTGAAAAACTTACGACTTTTCAACTTTATACACAACCATTCCCCACGATAAATTAAAATTAAAAAACATTTTCAATGAAAATGGAACTAAATTTACTTACCTGCTCATTGGTCATTTACAAAATTATTTTGTTAAATAACATTCTGATTGCACACATCAAAGTTGACGTCAAAGAGATGCTTGAATTTGTGATTAACAATACCTATTAGTATGTGGTTTTTGGAGACCAGGTATTCCAACAATCTATTGGAATTCCCATGGGTTCAAATTGCTCTCCGTTATTAGCAGACCTTTTTTATATTCATATGAAGCAGAATTTATGCACAATCTTATGCGTGAAAAGAAAAGAACACTTGCTGTGTCCTTCAACTAGACATTAAGATACATCGACGATGTATTGTCAGACACTTCTGTTTCATACTTGGATATTTTACTTGAAAAAGACGTTAATTGTAATCTAACAACCAAGCTATATGATAAACCTGATGATCGACTTTAACTTTTCTAACGTCAACTTCCGTTACTTATGCAGCAATATACCTTCATCACCTGCATACGGAGTATATATATCTCAGTTGATTCGTTACGCAAGAGCATGCTCTCCGCATGAACAATATATAAAGCGAGGTAAATCATTGACAAGCAAGTTGATGAAACAAGAATATCAGCAGTGTCGTGTAAAGTCATCATTTTGTAAATTTTATGGTCGATACAACGACCTTGTCAGCCAATACAATTTATCATTGAGTCAAAGGCTGACTGACGTTTTTCATACTAGTTGTTAGTCTATTATTTATACACTGAATTGACAACGGATTTTTCCGTTATTTCCTGACCATGACAATGAGCACACGACGGGTGTGACCGGTCTGCAGGGGATGCTCACTCCTCTTTGTCACCTGATCCCATCTCTGATGTTTCGTAGGTCCGTGTTTGCTCTGCTCTTATTTTGTATTGTTTTATGGACTTTGAGATTGAATATTGTTCGTTATCTCCACATCCTTCTTTCTACTGTTTTATAGACGTTGATATTGAATACTGTTCGTCATGTACATATCCTTCATTGAAAACATAAATAATGTATGCTGTCTAGGGAAGATAATGCGAGTCATTAATAAGAAGCATATCAATTATCTTTATACTAGTATTCTAGTATTATTGTAGTTATGAAGTGGGAAATAAAAAAAACAGCTCAGACTTCGAAACAATAATCAAAGAAGGATAAGAAGTTTATTGATGTCTTTTCGGTAATTATCTAATATTAATTTGAATTAAAATTGATAAATGAAAAAATGGATAAAACATATTATTGATAAATGAATGAATATGTATCATTCTTTTTAAGAAAAAATGTAATATTATTGATGAATGAATGAAGATGTATCATTCTCTTTAAGAAAAAATGTCATTTGTACTAAAACTTAGTGGAATTTTTCGATGAATTAAAACGAGATGAAGAGTTATGTGTAGAGGAGTCAAATGCTTTTTGTTTGCAACACAATCTAAGAACTCTCCCATTACAGACTAAACTTAGAAACAGAAACAAGCCCTGCAACCCATTGAGAATAGCAACAACGTATGACAGAAAAGACAGGGAGAGAAAGGAATCTACTACCTGAAAAATCCACGACAGACCCGTGAGACAAAACAGCTTCACGTACACCCACACATCTACGGCTGGTTTCCGGTTCTTCTGCGCATGTGGGGTAGTGTGTATGTGATGTACTGTAACAACAAAGAAAATAGAGTTGCTGAAACAGATTAATACCATTGGTGATATCACGGTGACAATGAAGGCTATTCTGTCATTGACGAGGTTATTCCTGTTTTCATAGCCAGTGCGATGTCCGTTAGAGATAACTAGATTTACAATGATGTGACTCAGTACAATCAACCCCGAGAAACAATAGGCATAGCAAGCATACTTTATGAATATACATGTGTTTTCTCTTTCACTTTTAATAATGTGAGTTTTGCTGGTAAAGACTCGAAACATGTGAAATGAACAGATCTGAAGCCAGAAAAATACAGACAGCCATGAAAAATGCAACGTTATGGAAGGTACAATCGCAACAGAATGGATAGCAAGAGCATAGGGCCGTGCTATAGTCATAGTTTGAGCGAAGAAGAGAGAAATAATCAGACACATGTTATTCAAGCCAGGAAGTGTTCGAAGTGTTGAGAATAAACAATAAATGATCAATGTTACCGACAGACAGATGAGAGAAATAAGAATACAGATGAAGGTTATCCACGGTAACAACAAGTTAGAATTATTCTCAATACTTCTTTTTGTCTTAAAAGTTTTTGTTAATTCGTCTGCGCATACTCTCACTGAATTGTCCGCATCAAGTAAAAACTTATCTTTTGGTAGAGTAAGGTCCATTTCTCTTATTTTGAGGGTTTCCGTGGCACTGTTGTAGACGTATTCTGAGGGATATAAGAAGACCTGCTGACAAAGAAGTAACTTATTGACATACGTCTTCCTGTACACTGAGCTCGCGAGTGTCCTGTTTCCTCCATCCATGGAAGTCTTTGTAAGCCAAGAGCTTCCTACACTCCACGAGTTTTGTAGATTCCTCGAGTTCTTTCCATGTCGCATGTCATCTGTCAAAAGACATTTCTGGAGAAAGAATGGAAAAACTGGAGTGAATAAAACTTGTGACAATTTAAACTCATATGTTAGCGAATCGAAAACAAAGTACTGCAAAGAATTAGAAAAATTCAGTAGATTTTGTTCTATCTCCAGGCGATTGACATAGCCATTAATGAATATAACTAATTGTGCGTAGACTTTAAGCCCAGTTATATCACGCTGTTGGCAAGGTTTGTTTGAAAGAAGAATGGTTTCTTCCAATTCTACTGAAGATGTTGAATTTGTAATTGACTTGATTTTCTGGTATATGGTGAATTGTAATAATTGTAGGATCCGCCATGCGTGGAGTGTTATCGGCCTGGATCCATTGTCAGTCTGATGCATCCAAAAGTACAGGACAAGTCGGAGGTTCTTTATTTGCTTCAGTAGGGAAACACATGAGTAATTTTGTAATATCTTGCCGGGATAACATGTCTTGTTTTTGCAATCATTCTAAAACAGAAATAAAAAATTATATAAAAAAAATTGACAGAATTGCCAACAGAAAACAAAACGTACTTTCAAGAAATATTTTTTTTTTTAAACTGCAGTTAATTTTTTTCATCAAATCAGTGCTGCTATAATAGAATTTAAGAGATTGTTTCACAAAATGTTTACTTTGCCATAAAAATAATTTTCCCTGTATTGAAACACTTCCAGCAAAATTGATTCAGAATTCATATTAGTAATTAACTACAATTTGAATTAAAATTCCTTTATAAGTTATGAAAACAATAATAGTGGCTATGTTTATAAAAGAAAAGTTAATAATAATAACATCAAAAAGTTTGAATTCCACAAGAATGTCTTTCAAATAAGTTAAAAGTTGAATATAATTCAAAGTGTAAGAATTCATTTAAGATATTTTATCGTTTTAACTATAAAAGAAAAGGTCCGAAAAATGAATGTTAATACAGTCAATTCTTTTTTTTTTTTTTGTTTGTATCATCCGTACTTAATGCTACATATTTATCTTTCATTAAGGTCTTCCGTTTCCAATGGAAGACCTTCTACTGATTCTGTTGGTAAAGATTATTATTCTTTTTTTCTTCTACTTCCTAGACGAAAACTTTGAAGCCTCATATCTCACTCATTTCTCAATAGATTTTGCTCAAATTTTCAGAGTTTATAGACGTTACTAAACTCTATTACAATGTTGTCTAATATTTCAAAAATTCACTTTCGGTTTTGAGTTAATTTTCTTTAAACGAAAATTTATAGACTTTCATTTCCAGATAAAGGCTCAGAGACCACAAAGGCTGGAACAGAAATTCTACTGATTTTAGATAAAAGAAGGATTGAAGTTGTGCACATCAGTTTTTGTTTTTCGATTTCTGTATTCAAAATGGTGCTATATAGGGGTCAAAAATTAGATGGCCTAAAAGAGCGAAAATTTACACATATTTTCCTTGTTTTCTTCTCAACTAAAAATATTTTGTTAAAACATATAAAACAAAATTTGTGCAGAATTACAAGATCTTCCAAATGATATCTCTGAAAAAGGGCTGACCCCTAAATTAAGGGATCTAGAGGGGCCAAAAGTTTTTTCCAGATATCTTAAAAAGTATTAAGAATTTGTCAAACATCAAAGAAGCAAAATTGTTCAAAATCTTTAGTAAAATCTATTGAGATCATTAAAATACGTCCTGTGACGTCACTTCCTGCCAAACCGGAAGTAGTCAGAAAATGCATAATTTTGCCATTCTTCACACGTTTTTGGGAAATATTTATCACTGGAAGTATAAAACTTAATTTTCCGTCCATTGACGTCACTTCCGGTCGAACAGGAAGTAACAAAAATTGCTTACTTTTGCAATTATCAACATAGATTTTGAAGATTGAAATCATTAGAAACGTCATTTTTCTTTTTTTTTAAAATAAAAGTTACTTCCGGTCAAACAGGACGGAAGACCTACTCGTTGCTTTGCAACGAGCTCAGCTCTAGTTAAAAATATCTTTTTATTAAAAAAATCAATAGTTGTAGAATGAAGAAATAATATTTCCCTTTGTTTTGGCCTTTTATCACTCACCAGAAATTGAATTGACTGATTGCTATATTATTTTATTTTACTATTTTAAAACTTGCGAAAGATTTAGCAATAAAAACTAACTCTCAGTTTGCTTAGTATACATTCTTATTGAGTTCAGAAATAAAAGTAACCCATGATACCGTATGCCCCAGCAAATTACAAAAGGGTTCACTGTGTCAAGCATTTTATGGGAAGACAAACCAAATCTAAACAATTTCCAAATTAATCTATAAAACTATTTGTTCAACTACTTTTTTACTTTGGATCTGGAACCTATCGTTTGATTTTAAAGCTATTTAAAATATCATTAATAGTATTAATATTATCATTGAATTCGACTGTTAAGCTTATTGTATATATTAATATTATTTGAATATTAAAGTGTGGAAAGGTATCATATACTGCTGAGTTCTTAATGTGATTTCATAAGTTAATTATGATTTTCAACTTAAAATATTTCTTACAAATAAAATCTTTCGCTACCTAATATAAAATCCTAAGAAAATCACTGAAACCCAAATTAACTTTAATTTTTATTCAATATTTCATGAGAAGTCCCAAACAGTTATCAAAAAAAGAGTATAGAAAGGGCAAAAGAGTGGAAAATTTTAACATCATAGAAAAAAATTTCTTTTTGTTTTCTATGTTTGATGTCTGCATTAATCAAGTTATTTCCAACCAAAATATTTAAAAACCCCCCACCAAACCTTGCAATCAATTTTAACAGTGAATAGCAAGTGATCAAATTCTTTCTCTGGACCAATATGCTAGTAATATTTGCTACAAACCTTCAGTGTGGTTTGTTGATGATCAGGAGGGCATGATTTGTATTGTTCTTGTGGTACATTGTTGGTATATACATTGAGTGCAAATATTGTCCTGAAATACGTCATACGTTCCATTTTACGGTTTCTTCCCGCAATAGTATCATAAAAACCATGTGATCCTGGAATAAAATCCATACGTGGGACAAAGAAGTTAGGATGATAACCCATGCGCGGTGGAAAAGGGTGAAAACGACCTATTTTGTCATTTCTTAATGCATAGCCATTACATCGTTCACAAAATATGTTTTTATAATTTGACGCCATTTGAACAGTAGGAAGTTTCCCGCATGCTTCCTCTGCATATTCCTGTACATTTACTTTCGTTTTCTCACAAGACGTAATGATGTCTTTAGTCTCCTTAAAAACTGGGTTACACATTTGGCAGAATGTATTTTTATAGAATTTACGATCGTTTCCTGTTCCCTCTATTACCGGAAGTCTTCCTTGACGGATTCTTTCACATGCTCGCTTAATGTCGACGTCTTCCTTACTCCAAAATCCGGTAGTGTTACAAACTTTTACATTGGGGTTTCTAACTTCACATTTCGTTGCAGAATTATAGAGCTGTAGACTTATTCTGCAGTTCATTTGTTTTAAAATGCTGATAAATGCATGGAACGAGGGAAAGTAGTCAGGGTTTATGAAATCTTTACAGAAGACTATAAGATTCCATGGCGAAACTTCTTTTTGTTTGAAGTTTGTTTTTGGCACTGTAGATGTCTTGTTTTCAACATTACAAAAGTAGCAAAATATATTTTTATACGTCGTTTTCCTTTGAGTGTCTGTAACAGGAACTGCATTTAAAAAATCGTCTGAATGTTCCTCCATACACGAGACAGACCTCCTAGTTCATAAAAGCATTTGTTTACAACTAAATTTCCGCCAATTTCAACCTGTTTTGGTGGGAAGGCATTGTTAATACAGGCAGTGACAGGATATGAGAGTGCGTGGTCAATACAACAATCTCGAAAACATCCAAGTCTACAGGAACACTGTCTTGCCATATTTCTAAGATACGTAGAGTAAAGACTCGTATTGCAGAGACCACCACCAGAAAAGGCAGTACTTTTTATCACAACACTAGTTATGTTTATATCTGACAACAAGGGCTCGATGTCTGCATTAACAATACTTTTGATGTGTTCATCAGTCCATTTCCTGTAATAATAATGTTCAAGAATTTCAGAAAACAAACTGATTTCGTACTTTATTTCAACTGCATCTTTTTTATTATTTAATAATGTAATAATTGCCTTGTATTGCTTTTCTGGAATGTCTGTGCACAGGAAGCAGAAAATATTTCTATAAGGTGATAAGGATATTGTTTCAGGGAAATATTTACAGAGTTTTGAAAACATCGGCATATCCACACAATCTTGAACTTTTAAACTGCTGTTTTGTTCTACAGAAGCCGGATTACAGATATAACAGAAAACATTTTTGAAAACGTTTTTGTACGGGATTTTGAAGCCGCTTCTACATGCAAAATCAATTGAATAATCAAAATTTTTCCAGTTTCCGGTAACGTTACAAACTGAAATAAGGCTTTCATGTTCATCAACATCACATTCTTTTCCATTTCCTCGGAAAGCAATCGAACACCCGGCTCTATTAGCTGTGTCTACTATATCATCATAGGAAGATAAATAGTTGAAATCCGTCGGTTCTTTACAATCAAAGATTAAACTCCATGGTTGAAAAGATGAGATATTATGGCAAATTGCGCAATGTTTATTCCAATATCACAGATTACTTTCCGTACTGGATACTGGCGGCAAAACAAGGCGTTCTGAAGGTCTTCTTATCTTTGAGCAATTTTCTTTCAAAGGCTGGTCGGTTTCCAGTGGACAAGACTCGATTAACTTATAAAAATATTTGTTAACACTGTTGTTCGTAACCTCGATTGATCGACAAAATTGCACACCAGCTTTGAAATAAAGGTCAGGGCAACATGGATTTTCTTCATTTGTTAAACAATGCGCTTCACATGAACACTTCGGACAAACCTGTGTTTGCAAACTAGGAATCTTTGGTAAGTTAAGGAATGAGAGAACAGACACATCACACAAAGCTGAGACTCCACACAGAGATACGTATTGTATAATCAAGTGAGTGAAGTTAAATGAGGGAATTGACTGTTCTTCGGATATACCTGGTTTCCCTACGCAAAATAACACAAGAACATACGACCAAGTCAGGAGACAAGGTACAAGATACCTGTCCAATATTTGCCGCATTGTGTTGATTTTTGTTCATTGATTCTGAAAAATAAATATCCAGATAATGTATTTATTAGATATTCTTCTAAAAAAAAAAAAGAAAAAAGAATTTAGTAACTGATTGAGAAAAACAAAAGAAATCTAATTTTTTTTTCTATACACGTGATTTATATATATATATTATATATTTATATTTATTTTATTTATATAAATATAACACAATATGAAAAAGTGAATATACCTCTTTTGAAATAAAAATTCACAACGTTAAATACTGCATTATCCTCAATTCATAAACCCCTAAAATTACTGCAGATGATAATGGCATACTGCTTAATAAGTAAAGGAAGTTGACGTCATCACGGTTATCAGAAAGCTTTGTTTGGTTAACAATTATTTCCTTTTCTTGTAAAATACGTAGACATAAAAATGAAGAGTCAATCAATTTTTTTAAATGGAATTAAAGACTGGAATTCTCAACCTGACTAGATCAAAACAATACTGTAAATCACTTTTTATTCGCGAGAACTTTATTTCCGCGTAATTACGCGAGACAGTGTGCTCGCGAAAATTTAATTCTCGCGTATAATAGTATTCCTTAAGAATACATAAAGCAATAACCATAACTCGCGAAAATTTTGTCTCGCTAATCAAGAGTCAATGACTATCTCGCGAAAATAAGGTGTCGCGAAAATTAAGTGATCTACAGTAACTAGTAAATTAGAATTTAAAAAGAGGTCAAAATACATTTCATGGAGAAACTTAAGAAAAATGCTAAAGGGGATTTTTTATACTATTAGATTTATAACTCAATTAAATTGTTTTTTCTTCTAATACAATTAAGAATTTGTATTTGAGGGGGCTCTCTAGAACGTCACAACATGGCGTATACTTCCGTAAAAACGCCATTTTGATCCCAAATGATCAGATTCAAATTCACTTAACACCGATAAATCACTGAGTATAACACAACATGCGATGTTGTGGATGGAATGTACATCATATCACACCAATTAATACGGTGTATTGCCCAATACGTATCCTTTCTTTAAAAATGAATTGTTTGTCAATCTATTCAATTTCTACTTATTTAATTATTAAATAATACATTTACAAACTTATTAGAATAAGATTTTTAGATGAGAAAAAAAATGATATAAAACACTGTTTGTCCATATGCTAATTCATCATTACGTGTCAAAACGCCATACACTCAGAAATTTATTTCTCCAATAAGCATATATGCTTTTCAGCAAAATATAACCCCCACCCCCCAAAAAAATGCAAATTTGATAAGATAAGACATATGTATTATCTTCCCATCGACTAGAGGATACTCTGTTCTCGATTTGTATACACTCAAATGAATGGTTATACCCGGTGAAATTTCGCATGACCCAAACGTTTGATCACCATTGATTGTCAGCTGTTTACAAGTATGGGAAACGTGCAGGTTTTAGACGAAGTGAGCATTTGGTTATAGGAATTTCTTTTACCGCTTTTTGGCCATTTACCATCTTAACTTGTTTTGATATATATAGCACTGTATAACACATGCAAGTTGGATAAAAACGGTAAGTAAATCTACCTTTCTCAATACCATGAATTCACTAAATACATGTCTTTGTCATTGACTGGAAACGCGATGATTTTCGCGTAAACTCATTGAAAAACAATACATGTACAAGATACGAACATCTTTCAATGTCCTTGCGTGACATTTGTTTAATACTTGTGCAAGTAGAGTTTATTTGAAGTTTCTAAAAAAAAAAATAAAGTACCACGATATTTGAGTCCACTCTTAAAGCGGTTCTCTCACACCTGAATTTTTGTGATGTTTATAAATTTTTGACAGTTTTTCAATTTTTTTTCAATTTCTTTTACGTGCTCTACGTATGAACAATTTCTTAAACGAGGTAAATTATTGACAAGCAAGTTGATGAAATAAGAATATCAACAGTCTCGTTTAAAGTCATCATTTCCTAAATTCTGTGGTTGATACAATGATCTTGTCAGCAAATACAATTTATCATTGAGTCAAATGCTGACTGACGTTTTTCATACCAATTGTTAGTCCATTATTTATGCACTGAATTGACGACGGATTTTTTCCGTTATTTCTTGATCATGACATCGAGCACACGACGGGTGTGACCGGTCGGCAGGGGATGCTCACTCCTCCATGGCACCTGATCCCACCTCTGATCTTTTTGAGGTCCGTGTTTGCTCTGCTCTTATTTTGTATATTGTTTAATGGACGTTGAGATTGAATACTGTTCGTTATCTCCATATCCTCCTTTCATTGTTTTTACACTTTGATATTATATATCTTTTCAGATATTGAAGAGGATCCAACCAGCTATTCTCAAGAAAATGCTGTTTTAGTTTTTCTTTTGTCTATTTTTGTAAATTCAAATAAAAATTATGTTGATTTTATTTTTATCTTTGTTGGTTATTATTTCAATATTTTATAACACTAAACTTTGAAGAGAAATTTAAAGCACTGGACTTTTAAAAATATAGATAGGAAGGATTTTAACAAAATAAATAAAATATTTCAAATATTTCTAAAAAATAAATTGAAGTACTTTGGAATCTTATTTTATCGGATATGGGGCCTATTATTAGAAACAAATGCATGCGACAAAAATCAGTTATACTTTACAGGTGTAGAGATCCTCCTTAATGATTAAATGATTACAGTTTTAAGCCATCTCGTTTATAGCTAGCATACTATTTATTGTTTATATTAAGTTTATTATATATGTCATATGCCAATAATTTTGTAACATGTTAAAGGGCCCCATTGGAAATAAGCCATACTGGCTTTCATGGGCTATCCTTTGGTTTAGGCATATTTAATTTAATATACTTATTTGAATTATATAAAAATAAGATTTATTAGTCAATTTGTTTTATATCTTATCTCTTAAATTATGTATATTTATAATTTTTATATTATGTTTAATACTCACACATCACCGTTCATGTAAATTGCAAAATGCCTTTACCTGAATAAAGAAAATCTTTATTATCAAAACAGACGTGTCTGTAGTTTCTTTTATTTCAAGCTCAGTGGGATATATTCTGTAGGTTATGAATTAAAATCACAATTGATAATTAATAAAAAATCCTCGATATATTGAACTTTGGAGCTGAAAACTACAGCAAGTGTTTTCTTCTCGAAAAGAAGTTATAGAATAAAATCTGCTTCATACGAATACAAAAATACATTACGTTGATAACAGAGCTTAATTGGTACAAATTATCATTGAGTCAAATGCTGACTGTTTTTCATACTATACTGAAAGGAAAAAGAAACGCAGGGTAGCATAAATTTCGATAAAAATTTGACCATATGACCGAAAATTACGAAAATTGGTCGGAAGGGAAATTTAGTTACTGTGCATCAAAATCAGTATTCAGAATTACTCAACCATAAAATTTATGACGTCACGTAGGGAAAACGCTAAAAAGCCCAAAACACGTGCAATTTGATAACAACGAGTTTGTCAACAAATCTTGTTGCATTATTTGATGCATATGAAGTATGCACATCGTTTTTCATTATTAAGAGACATTATGAATTTATTGCAATCTTGGCACAGTTTACGGAAGTTCAATGGGGTCTTGTTTTCGAATTGCCTAATTAATGAAAAAGGCAACAACGGTTTACTAAGCAGTCTCTTGTAAATTTTCCCCCATAAAACGTTTTAGCCGTTGTCAGAGAGGGTCTGGAGTGGTTTTCAATCAACCGTGACGATGACGGTAACGCGAAACAGAGTCATGTTACGAGCGAGTTATTCGTCCTGCTGTCTCTTAAATCGCCACCTTACTACCACAAAAACAGCCATTTATAGAGTAGATGATTATAATCAATACATTCGTACGAAATTTGAAAGAAAACATTTCTGCAATTTGGTTTTTTGAGCCAGTCAACTTACGGTTGTATTCCTCTCACTGGCGCATGCGCGCGCCGTTTGACTTAATTTTTTGCATGGTTACCCATGCTTAATATAACCAGGATTTGACAGATAAACACTCTGATGAAATTCCATGCAAAGGAGTGTCTGTAGTTTCTTTTATTTCAAATAACACTCTGACAAATGCACGAGATAGACATTGAAGATAATGAGAGTTTTTGATTTTCACTTTTGGGGGGTATCGTCATTTGAGCTTCAATTACTTATGAATGATTAGACAAAATCATATGAGAATTTGGTTATATCTTTTTGAAAGATGATTTTAAAAGGTAGATAGGAAAACTAAAAAGTATTTTAAGAGAAACAAATTTAATTCACCTCAAAAGTTTACCCTGCGTTTCTTTTTCCTTTCAGTATATTTGTTACAGTAGTCCAATATTCATACACTGAAATGACGGCGGATTTTTCCCGTCATTTCCCGATCATGACAAGGAGCACGAGGCGGGTGCACTCGGTCAGTAGGGGATGCTCACTCCTTCATGGCACCTGATCCCACCTCTGGTGTTTCGGAGGTCCGTGTTTGCTCCTATTTTGCATTATTTAATGGACTTTGAGATTTAATACTGTTCGTTATCTCCATATCTTTCTTTCTTGGTAGCAATGAATTTTTATTACAGATTTACAGACCTTGTCTTTTAAAACTACGTAGATGAAACATATAGAGATAAAAAGTATTCAAGATCAAAGTC